TGATGATACAGACAAGGTAAAAAGTGTTTGAATGTGACACAAATATGACAGACATTTTCCAAATAAGGATACATCCATAATACTTTTGAACAAGCTCCTGCTTTTTTTACGGACGGCTGAATTCGACTAATTTTGTGGCCAGATGCACAAAAACTCTTGATATCAGAAACTTTTAATGAGCTAAAATACGATACTCACTCTTCCATCATTTGATTTTGTTCTTCTCTTAAAGACTTGATTCTGTTGACATTAGTGTACCACTTTCTGAACCATCTCGCCTGGACAACCAACTCGTCATGGCTACTGGACGGCGTCTTATGTAGTAACTCTATTAGCTTCATAGCCCAGAGTATTGATGACATACGATTCAATGTCTTGGTACTTCCTGGTGATGTCTGGATACCTTTCCCACTGCCAGAATAAAACAATTTAAATTAAATGAGTTCAATCATTTGTTTTACAATCCGAAAATCAACAAAACATGTAAGCAATGGAAAATTAAACCCATTTGGTTTAACATTAATAAAGAAATCATAGAAAAATACATAAAATACCAACAATTATTATGTTCACAGGTTTATACATCAGTGATTGTTATTAAAAACATTTTGTTGACAGAGTATTTTATAAAAGGTTTGAGAAGTACCAGTATTGAACATTTAAAGACTGTAAGCAAGGTTTCAGGAAAACAGTGTCTGCATATTAATTTAATTTATCAATGTAGTACACTATTTTCTCTGTTACTTGTACATTGCTTAGGAAAAATGACAGGTTCATGTCTATGGTCAAAATACATCATAATGATCCAGTATAGAATAAATGTAATTTTGGATTGTGTGGACATACTTTAATAATTAATCAGATTCTTTTAAAGGGTGTCGCGAACATTAATATTGTTATTAATTTCGAAGTTATCATTGTTATATTCGATGTTACGGTGATACTGCCGATATCCAAGTGAAATGCATACATTATGTTAATTAGGGTCAATCTACGTTGACACATGATCGGTATTGACCAATCAGTGTTTGTTTACTTCTGCTCGCGTGCAGTTCAATTTCTGTTATCTTCTGTGTTCCTGTGCCAGACGACATTCTCTAACCGCTGTATTTTTACTGGAGTCGTTTTGAAATAAATGGTATACAGGTGTGATTGTATCATTATCAGAAAACCCTAACCGAGTCTGTAATTTTGTGACGCTATTCAGAAAGGGTAATAGTTGTTGCGTCGCGTCCTTTTCAATATAGAACCCATAGCGACATATACAGCGCATGAAAAATACAATGTTTGTTTACATGAAATTCGAATACACGCTGCGCGACGACCACCGCCCCTTAAATTATTATTTAGGTTAAATAGTAGGTAAGCTACAATGTAATTTCTACCAAGCAACCACGACTGTGAGGCTTGTGGTATATATTGCAGACATACTTAAGGGTCCTTACGATAAATGCCACAGGGCAATTAATCCTAGAGACCTGTAAAGTGATTCAATACATTTGGCTAATTGCCAAATGTATTTAAAATACAATAAAACTATTACAAATACCAACAGGCCAGTTGTATCAACTTATCGATGAAGGACACTTAATTTATAAGCTGTTAATCTCATAAAATAGATTATAGGTTTAGTATTATAGTTAGGACAAAATATATATCAAAAGATTTTCCAAAATGCTATGGTGTAATCCCTGATTAAGACAGTTCCTCTGAAATTTTATTTTTATTGCTGAGGCAAAATTGACTTTACTAGAACTTCTCTCATTGGCTAGAAAATCCAAACTACTCAAATAGATTAGCCAATCAGAGGACAACTTATTTGATGAGGCAAAGGTAACTTTACTAGAATTTCTCTCATTGGCTACCAAATCCAAACTACTCATTCAATCCCAGGATAAACTATGCAATGAGGCAAAAGTAACTTTACTAGAACTTCTCTTATTGGCTACCAAATCCAAACTACTCATTCAATCCCAGGATAAACTATCCAATGAGGCAAAAGTAACTTTACTAGAACTTCTCTCATTGGCTACCAAATCCAAACTACTCATTCAATCCCAGGATAAACTATGCAATGAGGCAAAAGTAACTTTACTAGAACTTCTCTTATTGGCTACCAAATCCAAACTACTCATTCAATCCCAGGATAAACTATCCAATGAGGCAAAAGTAACTTTACTAGAACTTCTCTCATTGGCTACCAAATCCAAACTACTCATTCAATCCCAGGATAAACTATTCAATGAGGCAAAAGTAACTTCACTAGAACTACTCTTATTGGCTACCAAATCCAAACTACTTATTCAATCCCAGGATAAACTATTCAATAAGGCAAAAGTAATTTCACTAGAACTTCACTCATTGGCTACCAAATCTAAACACAAAGCATGAAAGAATTGGCCATTTACAGATCGTGAAAACCTTGGTGGTCAATATACAGATGAGAAATTGCATCCAGATGCAAAATTAGGAACAAAATGCAGGACTGACCATTGTTTCAATCATTTCTATCAGCAGTCTCTAAAACCTAATGTGACATGTTTGACCGACTACGACAGAATGACCTAGCAATTAACATGGCCTCCACGGAAAAAACGAAATGAACAGGGAAAAAATGGCATCACCAGGTGATACATTTTAACTGTTGCATGAAGTGTTGACTGGGGGCAGCAAACTTGCATGTCTTTATGCCAGGTAAACACTTTTGCAAAGAAATTTGAAATGAAACCCAGGTATTAAACATTTCTTTAGGAGGTACAATTTTGACAATTTCCTCAAAAACCAACAAGTGTTCTTGAGAAGTTGCATTTCAATTATGCCGTAGAGATAAGCATGACTGATTGAAACGATAAAATTATCAGTCTTCCATCTATGCTGCAGAACAAACACAAACCAACTCCATTAGCTGTTGCAAATGTGCACCATTCTTCCAAATGAATTCAACTACATTCACTGGGACCCTCCTGGGACGGCTGAATAGAGCGAGAAGACAAGTATGTTTTGATCAACACGTTCATCCACTTTTCAAACTTTCTAGTTCACTTCCGTTGCTACGGTTTAATTCATTAAACCGATAGCAATTCCCAAAGGGCAGAGATTCCATTCATCTATGTCATTTCCAGTGTTTCCGCACAATTCCTGTCATTGTTGTGTAAACAATCCAGGGGCACACTGGCTAAGTCTACCCAATAGCAAATTACAATTATTTTGCTTCCCCCGATGTTGCATCGAGTCTCATCCATCTCAAAGAACAATACAAATAATATAAATTATGTGAGCCTGATTGGCCTGAATGGCGAGTTCTCACTGATGTTTAATGGTACCAAGCCGACCATTGTTATCAAGACAATACATGTATTGTCTTCTTTATGATTTCAATAGAACTGACCCATCATACTAGCCTATCAGTTTATTTCCCAATTCTTCGGTAATTGTTTACCACCAAGGTGCTGTTCACTGGTGTGAAATGGTATTCTATTTCCAAATGCCAAGATAATAGTTCAAAACCAAGTCCTCAAACCCTAATTCTTTAGTTTTGTTGAAGCATTATCTAAAACTGTTTTTTTACTTTTGAAGCCCAACACAGAAAGTTGGAAAATAAAGATGGTTTGAGCAGCGTTTGGACGTGTGTGTGGAAATGGAATTTTTCAAATAATATGATTGTCATGTTCCAAATATGGTTATCATGCTCCAAATATGGTTATCATGTTCCAAATATGGTCAAATATGCAAATAATGAAATTAAACACCAGTGAACATTAAAATTAATTTTTAGCAGAAATAATTAAATTAAAAAAATAATAATAATTAGTGCTTTGTGTGTGACGAAGACCAGAGACTCGTGACATGAAGCTATCACTGAACTGCCACTTTAAATAAGTTATTGCATGCAAGTTAGATAATAGACTTAGAGCTCTTTTTTTTCTGAACTACTGAACCAATATTGACAAGCAACCTTTCGTGATCGCAAAAAATGGTGATACCTTAAGATTTATCACACATGAGCAGAGATGTCAGTCTACAACTGTTCACACACGTGTACACCACAATGCTTTATGCTCTAAACTACATTCGTATCTAGGATGTACAATGTATTTTACCCCTTTTAATGGCAAAACCAACTTCTGTTACTTTCCACAAAATAAACCTCAATCCCTTTTTCATAATCCTTTTGTAAAAAATGACAAATATCTGAAACCAAGGGTAAATTACGGTATGTTCATTTGGTTCAAAATTAATG